AAATAAATAATAAAAAAGTCTTTTACATTTAACATCGTCTCATGAGTATTCTATGTGAATAGTAAATTGTAACAATGATAAGGAGATAGCGTCACAATGAAATAGTATTTGTAAAATGATTATCTATTGCTTGTTAAACTTGACTTTAAACCCAGATAAATACTAACCATTGTAACTATAATGATAAATGAACAATGATGATTATCAGTTTATAATAATGTTTTTTTTTCAAGTCTGTAATAAAAATTTTACGATTAAAGTAACCAACTGTACATCATACTTCTTTTCATAACACTTTAAATGCATTAAACAATGATAAGTGAATATAAATAGAGAAGAGTAAAGTGTATTACACACACACATACACACAATGTTAATACATAAGTTTTACATGGATACTGTAGTTATTCACTGTCTACATTAATATTTCTAGGTCAGTCACCTTTTTTCTAGAAAAAGAACAGACAAGTAAATACTTTAAAAGAGACTATAAAAAAACAAAAGGAATATTTATTTGTTTATAATTTACAGACAAACAATCTTGATTGATTTAGAAGAAAAGAATATTATGAAACTATAAAATGTGTTAAACTAACGTCAAAAAAAAAAGAAACATGTCCAACATGTGGATTATTTTATAAAAATTGTTATTAGTAGTAGAGGTAACTGATACTTTTACCGTTAAAAAACTGCTTGATTTATTTCGAAAACATTTAAAATGTGATAGAAAACATTGTAGTGAAAACATAACAAAGTTACTTAAATCACAGTACGGTGCGCTTCCTTCCTCGAAAACATCAAGTAAATAGTAATTTTACTGGTTGAAATCATGAGTCAATTGAAGCTAGATCACCATGGAAAACCTTCATGCACTGGACTGCCGTTTCGTCTTAGTATGGGACTCTTGAAGAGATACTCCTGGAGTTCTAGTGCGAATCAGTTACCAGTGGAGTTCAACCAGGTCTGTTGTGAGATGGTAACTCACTGAAAACGATGGTGTACGGTAGCACAATTTCGTGGATTGGTTGAAGTTAGAAATTAACACCGTTGGATGCCGGATCAGTGGTCTAGTTGGTTAAGCGCTTGGCGCGAGACTGATAGGCTCTGTGTTCGAATCTCGCAGGGTGAGGGATCGTAGGTGCCCACTGCTGAGGAGTCCCATACTAGGACGAAACGGCTGTCCAGTGCTTCCAGGTTTTCCATGGTGGTCTAGCTTCAATTGACTCATGATTTCAATCAGTGGAATTCCTAAAAATCTTCACAAAACCCCTTCTGAAAATAGTAATTTATTGTACATGTTCTAAATCATGGAAATGAATTTATTAGAAGAACTTATTCTAAGGTTCTGATTGATTTTGCGAAGCCCTAAATTGTTGAGTTTGAAGATAATTTACAATATGGGATAACTATAATCAAAATAAGCAGTTTTCTACTTCCCCTTCCCCCAGTTTTCCAGAATTATCTGTGCACAGTGAAATTCCCTATCTTTCAACAACTTTTTGCCAAAACTTCTGGATTAATTACCACTTTATATTTTTGGAATACTACAACTATTCGTTTGTCAACATGGTTGAACTCCTCTGGTTACAAATTCGTGCTAAAACTCCGGGAATTACTTTTGAAATATAAACTATAAAATTCTACTGAGAAGTCGTGACCGGTAGAAATTAATCTTGTCTGGAGTAAGGAAAATATAACCAATGTAAATTGATGGTGGTGTTACAATAACGTCGATGCAGTGGTCTAGATGTTAAAAGTACATAGTGATACCTGTAGATATTGTTTTCTATTCCCAGCGGGGTCATGAATGTTTATTGATGGGAAGTCCGACAGCAAAATGAAATAGAAGTCCAATGCTTCCTAGTTGGTGGTTGGAGGTAGTCGACAGAAACTCCTGAACCCGGGTTTCGTGCTATTTTGCACTCGTCAGCAAGGTGTACCATCTAATCTCAATATATAGTGCACGCTGTGTCGAGTCACCTAGACTGGTGGCCACATTGCAACATGGTCGATATTATTCGATCTGCACTAAATAAGGACTTGACACGCATGACATTGATCACCACCCAGTGATCAATCAATTGTGAATGCTTCCTAGTTTCTAGTGGTTGTATAATCCTATTCAGTTCGTGATGTGAAACTTTGAAGTTAATATACATAAGTTCATATATATGTAAACATTTGTGCAAGTCTATATAGCTAAATCTATGCATTTAAAATCAAACGCTAGGTAGTAGATGAGATAGAGAGCATAGAGAATAACGTACTAGTGCATTCTTAGCATAATAGGGAAACTAACTAGTTTTATGTGAATGTATACTATTTAATATAAACTGATGATATATAATAGACAAGTTTATAGTTCCTAAATAAAAATTTGTCATACACATAGTCATCCATTTAAAAGTGCAAATGTACACATATACACCAATTTCATTTAACACATATACAAAACCTTAAATTTCCCCTTCGAAAATTTAAAATAACCAATTTCACTTCAGTTCATTCTAGCAAAAAATAAAATATTTTGTTTGGATAATATTTCATTTGTTTTGTCTCCTTCTAATTCGTCTCCGATGAGTGTTATTTTTTTTCTAAACAGGATAGCATGAATACAAATATAATCTGATATGAATGTTTATTATTTTTATTTTCGACAACAACAAATTAATGTAACTAGGTACTTTTAAAGGGTGTTTCCTTCAAAAATTATTACTATTTTTTTGTTATTATTGTTTTCTTGGTCATACTATAGAGTGATCAAACATTTATCAATAATATGATAAATACATGATCAGTGAAAATTGGTATTTATGATTGTGATTGAAATTTGTACCATTCAATATCATTTATTAAATAGTTGTATTGTATTCATAAAGTTTTGACTAGCTCTTTGATGATGTAATTGAGTTATTTAGTCTTCAGTTAATTACTATGGTGACTAAATTTGATATTTAGTGAATTATAATGTTAGTTGTTGAAATTGTTGCTGCTACTGTGGTGTGTGCTACTTATATCGACATAAGTGGTATGTGATGCTAGTCGTGAACAGAAGGTCTGGTAGCAGAGAGACAAGAGAATCGAACAATAAAGAATGGAAACAGAAGGCAATTTGTATGAAAATACAAGAATAATGAAGTCTGAGTCATTTTACAAATCAAGCATTTACTTTATGATTGTTAGATTTTATTAACAAGTCCTGTAGTTTTGTGTCAAATACATTCGGTTGCCCCCACCCGTGTTCTGTTCACTACACAACCAGTCATTTAAACTATTCTGATGATGTTACATTTTATCACTTCACAATTAAATGATTAAACATTATTCATGTCAATGAACAAATTTTTTCATCGGAAAAGAATACTTACGTATAAAACTAATTCTTCATCTGGTAAAATAAATTTAGTTCAAAAGTCAAAGTTGATTTAACTTGAAATCGGCTAGCTTCATCAAACAACCTTAATTTATAGTTGAATACATTGAATGATATCGCTCAAAATGAATACTATCACTATCGATACTATCCATACATATATTATTTCAAATTTTTAATTCGAATATTATTTCATATTTCTCACTTTTCAACTTCATTCATTTTTAAAGTCATATTATCCAAGTTTAATCTAATTCTACTATTCCCATCGTAATTTCAACTACTGTTCAGTTCCTACTGATCTACTGATGTAAAGTTTTGACATTTTGAAGTCTTCTTTAAACCGGTAATGAATGAGTAAATTAATTTAGTCCAGTAAGGTTTCGCCCTGTTAGCTTAATGTAAACTGAGCGTTTTTAGTCTTCATCTATAGAGTTCTGGAACAATAAATATCAGCTTCTTCATTAATTTAAGTGAAATTTAAACTGAGATTGTGAACCGATCAGTTTTAGACCACCATTGAAAACCTGGAGGCACTGGATGCCCATTTCGTCCTAACATGGGACTCCTCAGATGTGAGCAGCCACGACCCCATACCCTGGACTCGAACTCAAGACCTTCGTTTACGCTTGGTCTAACATTGATTGGTTTATGTTCTCAATTAAGACCCAATAATCTCCACAACCCTATACTGATAATTTAAGTGAGGTTTCCTGACTTTCACCGAAATATTCGAATATTAGGCTCTTTTTTGAATAAAACACTAACTAACTATTGATCAATGTAGGCTAACAATAATTGGGAAAATAATTCAAAAATAAGGTAGCTTAAGATAGAAATCAATACAATGTTTAACATATTATCGATTCTGCGCATGAATTAACTTTGGTGGTCAGTTGCTGATTTCAACTTCTTTTGAGCGACCTACATAACCCAATTTGTTTGTTATTCATGTAGACTCTGGTCAGAAAAAAATATTTCACTTACCAGTTGTTTAGTTGGTATACTGGGTATCAACAATTTGGTCTAAGTAAATAATTATCGTTCAGTTGTATTCATCAGATTGTGTCATGAAATAATAAATAGTATATCTACGAAAATATTCATATATCTGTGGTGTATGCTACTTATGTTGACAGATATAAGTAGTATGTAGCACCAATTGGAAGTGGAATGCATGTCAGTAAAAGATTGATTAGATTTAATTGAAGAGCACAGAAAGTAATCGTAATAACAACAGGATTGAAAAAATCATGAAATATGTAAAGATAAATGATGGAAGATGTGCAAATTATGTATGTAATGTATGATTTTCATATTTTGTGAAAGCACTCTGTAATTTTACATTCAACAGTAAATTGGTCTTCCCCATCTGAGTTTGCGTTCACTACACAAACTAATGAACGATTGTTCTAATATTTTTTAGTGTTTCACTCATAAATTCCATTATCATATTTGCTAAAGGTGGGTTAATTAAATCAATTAAGTAAAATATCAATGATTATTTCCTTACCTCAATTATCTATATCCCAATTTTAATTATATTTTCACATAGACATTCTCATTATTTCTTCAATTTCTTAATTTTCATTCAATAGATTTTCTTTTCAAAAATTATTTTTTTTAGTTAGTAGTACGTGTATTTCGTCCGGATAGAACAACTAAAGCAATATTAATTGAACATCAAATGACCGCTGGTGAAGTGGCTACTATGATGATTGAAAAGAATTTTTTACAACCTTCAGTACATTTAGCTTTGGTAGAAAAAGTTCCAGCTTTAAAAATAGGTAAAATAAAACAATTTTATTGAATTTCGATCAAATTGTTTAAAACATTATTTTCATTATCACATTTAATTCTGACTTCTATTTCGTAATGTACAATAATGTGATACTATTAGTTCATTTCACTTTCTACTTAGTTTATTTAACTTAACATATTTACAGTCTGTTGTAGTTTGCATAGTTTTCAAAATAAAAATTTATGTAACAGTTAGGAGATTATCAATAGATTAGAACTTGTTTCATATTTCCTTGATGCATCAACATGCGTTTGTACACTTACATTATCCATGTGTAGCTTGAGAAAAATATCATCTATACCGATGGATAATATTCACGTAATGTCGTTAATCGACTGAAATTGTGAATGCAAACCACTGGATTAGAACTCAACCATTTGAATATCAGTACTCTCCACAAGGACTCAAATGTCTTAATTCGATTCCAGGTGACATTTTGAACGATCGATAAAAGTGGATGAAACAGCCGTTCAATTCACTCCGATTTCCGATAGTTGACTTACCAAGATTAGTCAGTAGTGTTAAATTATAAAATTCAATAGTCTATATAACTCTCTAGAATAAATATATATTACCAAACCATAGAAGACACACATCTATTCTCAGTCATTCTTTATATTACTGAAAGCACGAATGGATCTAAGTTTACCAACTACTGGAAACGTAGAAAAATTGGACGGCTATTTTGTTTTGAGTATTCTTTTATTAATGAATGATAACAGCTGCGTTAAAATATCTTTTTGATATAACCTACTGACGGAAGCATTTTCTGTCACATCAGATTTTATTTAGATTTATAGCTATAACTATAAAAGCTATATTCTAATCTACTAAGTTTGCCTAAAGTTAACAGTATCTTATAATCTATTCATCCTAACTAGTGATATGAACATCACTTTTATTGCAATATTTAATTTCAAGGGAAAGTAATCTAAGAATAATTTCAGGATATATGACAACAGTATTTGACTTATACACGTTTATTTTTCACCATTGATTTCAAGTGAACACACTTTACAATTTCTTATATCCTCTCTAATCTAATTTTTGTCTAAGTTGTTATAATACTGATCCAATCAGTCATGAAATAATGTTCATATGAAAGGATGTATTTCTAATACTGACACAAGTTTTTCTTGTGAAAGTTTACGCTTATACAACTTCCATATTTTAACAATTAAAACCAACCATAACATATTTTTACGATGTGTCTTTTGCTTTGTTTTATCGTTTCTTCTTGTAGAACGAGTATTTGAAGAACATGACATTGTGTCTGATTGTATTTTGTCTTGGCCAACAAAAAGTCAAAATATGATCTTCTTTGAAGAACGACCAGATCACTTTGGTCTTGTTGAATCACCAGATGTATGTTTTGAAGTAATATTAACTTAATCTGTAATAAATTCATATTTTCGTTTCTATCATGTTGCGATCTAATATGACCAAAACAAAGGATTTCATGAAATCCTAATGACAAGTTTTCAGATGCATAATTACCCAGAATTCGAGCAGTGAGCGATATATAATGAACTGTCGAGACCTTGTAGATTGCGCAAAAAGCTTTAGGTTCACATTTTACTTTCTCCATTACCTACTTAGTCTTGATTGTTAATTGGTTTCATCAAAACTGGAATTCAAATCATCAGGTAAAGACATTCATTTCAGTTACATGTTTAGAACTGTGAGTCAGCTTTTACATGTGTATATTTATGAAAGATTTAGATTATACAAATAAGATTAAAATACAAAATAAATTATCTTTCTCTTCACATATGCTTCTACATCTAAAGATGATCTGTATATCGTTAATCTAAATCATCAAATTACAACCCCTGACTTAAGTATTCACTTCATTCAGTACATGAAATCGCATGGTATTATCCACCGTTGATTTATAATTAAAATAAGCAAGAGCTAGACCAGTTGTTTTCATCTTTAATAGTACACAGGTAACCTTATAAACATAGAAACAATGTACAGACAGTTTAACACTCTGATTATTCAAATGATTCTTATGATGAGAATCTAAAAATACTTAGATTTAAATCATCTCAATCGAATACTAAACGAGATTTCATTTGGCAAGGTTAGTTATACTCGTGAAGACGGTTAGCAGTAGAATTTACGTTATATTTGCTTTTCATCTTATCCAAAACTCGTCATACATCTGCAGATGAGTATAGACGCAGAAATTAACCAAATACAGTTCTAAGTATCAACATAAAAAAATAAAAACTTTGAAGATTATGATAAGTCTTTTAATTAAACTCTAGATTCGGCTCCTAAGCACTTATAGTAACCCCCAGGCTAGATTCTGCACAGCAACTGGAACACGAGAGAAAAGGCGCGAAATATGGAAGAAACGCCTTACTCCAAAGGTTCGTTTGCGTACAAAAAATCTACGGTTTTTATGGTATTTTAGATGGTCCTGGGTTCCCAGAAAATTCTGGAGCGCCACTAAACATAGTAGCAGTGTAGGTAATCATCCAATCGGAAACTCGACATGTGACTCTTCAACTTCTAGATGTTTCTGTCGAAACTTCCATTGAATGCTGGTTGAATAAGATGCTTCTCAGCATTTCTACAGACTTTGTTGGCTTTTTTTGAGTAGTTTTCTGGATTTCCCCAACAGTTTCACAATAAAATTCAACGTTAATAAAATAGTATTTTAACATAATTTGGTAATTAGAGCTGAATAAAAATTTATATTGTCCCTCTTACGCTGGATATAACTGATGGTCATACAATACATTCTATCAATAAACATGTAAAACAAAACAACAGAGTTCTATTTATAAACATTCATACAGTGAACTGAACTCTAAAATCCATTAACTTATTGATTATCGATACATAGATATCAATAATCAAAAAATGTATCTGCATGTTTCTAATATTGTAAACTATTTAGATGATCATTTTATTTTATGCTACATTTACAAGGTTATTATGAATGTAAATTATCTGACTAGTTTATTCATGATTATACCATACAAAACCTTTTATATTAGAACTTTCGTGAAGCAATAATGTAAATTCGAAACATAATACTTTCTATATATATGAAGTTTCAGTTGATTATGACATCAACTGTTGGATTTAGACAAAAAGATAGTTCGGGTTATAAAAAACTTAAAGATGTAAAAAAAGCCGATAATGTTGGATCCAATGTAAAATGTAACTGTACGTAAGTGTGAATCTAAAATGAATCATCCGCTTCCTTGTGAATTCACATACACTTTGTTGACAAATTCCAAATTAGTGTAAAAACTAGATTCAGAGCTTTCACAAATCATTTAATGCCAGTAGTTGGGTTGGAAAACTGCATAATAGTTCAATAAAGGGAATATGTGAAAAAAAATCATTGTGAATTAATTAAAACATAATTTATATTTACAACTATCCAACTTTATAAATATTGTAATCTAGGCAACTATTTCCATACATCGTTGTAGACAGCTTATACAATTTCTAATTTTTACATCCATCTATTCATGTCTTGTTCAATTTGCTTTTTTTTACTGACTGATAAATTGTGTTTCATGTCATAACAACTCGTAACTGAAATAACTATAGGTCAGTTATTAGAAAACCCAGTATCTATAAAATCTGTTCAATAATCATCAGTCAAAAATATAATCAAATCAAAAATCATTATTTACGTATAAACTGAACAGAACAGGGTTGTTCATATTTTAGATTGGTATCTGAAAATTTGTCAGATCATGACTATGAGTTACTAAGAGATCAAATGATTTTGTTTATGATCCTACTGATGATCGACTGCAAATTTTGGTTATTTCCTAGTATCAACAACTTAATAAATACTAACTGATCAATAGAATTACGAATACAATATTCGTTAACTCTAAATCACATCATCAAAAGTATTCAGAATCATCTAATATTCTGAATATGATTTATTTAGAACAGGTATATTATTAAATACATAGCAGAAACAGATCTTTAAAAATTATTTCAATATTCATGTAGTGTTATTTTACCGTGTATTAACGTTTCAATCAATCTACTTCTTTAATATAGGAAAATACTACCATTTTGTTCTTTTTCTAAAGACAAACCTTTATTGATGAGTGATTTATTCATCTTATTCCAATTTATATAATCTTAAAATATCATCTTTGTAGTGACAATCAAATTCTGATTGTCTGTTTACTTTTTTATTCTGTTCATTGATTGTTTCTACTAAGAAAAACATCCACTTATAACGAACACATTTGTGTATTTCTGAGAAAAGATGACAGGATCATGGAGAATGGAAATTTTCATTATATGATGAATTATTTTCTACAAATACCATTAAATTTTATGAAATATTATAAAGACATGATGAAGAGATTACTTTACTCAAATCCTACTATTTAAACTACCTAGTAATCTGTATAAACAGTGCTTATTTAAGTGTTTTCTTCGATATATCAACAAGTGAACTATTACAAACTAAAGTGTAATATATAGCTATTTATCGGTGGTTGAGATCATTCAATAGTGCACCACTACAAATCTATATGGAGTTAAACGTAGTATCTTGAAATCTCGCAATAAGAATCTTGTCAGTAGATTATTTAGCTATTTGTTGCTATTAGTACTAATCAATATGAGAAATACAATAAGTATGGACATTTTGACAGTAGGGTTAATTGATTACTATTGCTGTCAATGAGTATATTAACGAATAGTTATTCTAGTTAGAGTTCATAAAAAATTTTTTGGGATGATGATTATTGTTAACATTCAATTCACTTTTGTGATATAATAGTCGTGATGATGAATTATATACAGTTTAAAAATGCATTGGAATCATTTCACATCTGTATTATTTACATTCTGATATTCCTAGGTTCCTTAAGCTAAATCATATTTCCTATGAACCAGAATAAGTATTGAGTTTATAGACAAGGAAAGTGTATTTAGTATTTATTCAACATTCTTATATACATAGAAAATATCACTAAATTAATTCCAGGCTCCGTTTGTTTGTTACCAATAATTTGAAGTTTTAAGTCTTTATCCATCGACTTTTGTCACGACTGTCATTAACATTTACACTAGACAAAGTATTTCTCAAAGTCAAGCATACAAATTTATGTTTGGTTAATTAGTGGTACTAAATTAAAATAGAAATATTTAATCATTTACGACTATTTTTGTAAAAATCTTCACCGACCTTAGCTCCATATTTTAATTTTTATCAACGTATACGTGTTGAGGTTCTTCTTGTTATAGGGCTAAATATTTCATAGTATTGAGTTGCTTGCATTTTTCTAACTTGACTAATCAGTTTACCTTTTATTCTTCTCTCACTAGTCTCATATTACTTTAAATAACTATCAGATTGTATGAAGTTAAGTTTACATTATTTTTTTCACTCTTAACTAGAACACAGTTGTTTGTATGATATTTTTGACAATAATCTAGATTACTTGTGTCGTGTTTTTAAAAAAATCTTTTCTTTCTCTTTTTCTTCCTTTATCAAGTATTGGATTGGTGAAGAAACCACTACAAAACAAGCTTTTCATAGTGCAGAAGCTATTCAAGTAAGTGTTCAGTTTGCCATATCTCTGTGCAAAAACAGAATTCATAGACAAACGAGTATAATCGATTGGCTTTTTTTAACCTAGTATAAACAAAGACAGAAACTAGAATGAAAATTTAGTCTATATTCTGAAAATTTTTAGCTGTATCATATATATATGTCGATAAATTGTTATTATCTATGAGGTCGTGAAACAGTAATACATAATTTTAAAGCCAAAACATAAGATATACTAGGGACTTAATTTTGACAATCTAGTGACAATTGTTTCTAGGTCAGCACAAAATGATCCCTCTACACTAATCGACTGTTGGATTAGTTAAGTGATTGTAGGTTGCTTAAGAAAAATCATCTTCCAAACGACCTTACCGTGACTAAATAAAAGTCGTATTAGTTCTTAATGTCTTTTGTCTGGTAAAGTAAAATTGATAACAATGCTAAACACTGAAATGTGAGTTAAATGTTAGGAATTTTAATTTTGCTATTAGTAAAGCATAGGTACTGAGTGAATAATAAATAAAAGAAACTGAATATATTATACTTCGAAATGGTTTTTATCATGGGATTAGATCAGTTACAGAATCTTTGATATCCAAGGAGTACTTGATAGGTGTTCTCGATATGAGGTTGCACAACAGTTCATTTATAAACTCGTCAGAGATTAGTCATTGAACATTCGAGTTTTGTATCAAGTACTTAATTTTCGGGCAAGAACTTAGGACTCATTGATTCACAGTTTCTCATTATTCTCAATAGCGTGTGACAGTTATCTAGGGTTATAGTTCGGTAACTGACTCACTCTGAATGCACGGTTGAACTTCTACAGTCATCATTTCTTTACAAAACTTTAGTAATACATAACACCGTCAGTCACTATTCGAGATCTGTTTATTGTTTCTACAAATGGATTATGGAGATTAGTAAAATTTGTTGATCTGTTGACATTTATTCACATACACTAAACAAAACTAGTGATTAGTTAACCCCAGTTCATATATGAAATTAAATGAAACTCTCGAGTTTTTTTATTTTATTCCACTATCAAAGGCTGAATAGTTTATAACCTCATTTTAATAAGAAAAGTGGGTATTTTATACTACTTTTCTTATCCTATTGATAGTTCGAAAGCAGCTTTAAACTAATTATTCGGTTTGATTACTTACAAAAATTGATTCAAAAATATGGAAAGATTTATGCCATTTACCTTAAAGTTCTTGATAGTTACTATCAAAGTATTTCTTGAACAGATTCATTCAAGTGCTTTACTTTGTGTTATCACTATGTTTGTTATTAATCTATGTAATTGACTATTGTAACGGTTAACGTGTAGCATCGAATTACTTTGGGTGTTGAATCAGCATAGAGAGCAGCCTGAATAAGAAAAGCTGAACAGGAGAAAAAGTGACCCGGCGACTCCGTAAGCGCATCGAATGTATTTACATTTATTTACAAAAGTAATCCATAGTAGTCATTGATAACAGAAGTGTAAGATTAGGACAGTCTAGTAATCGAAATTAGAAACTGACAGCGTATATATATACTTTTCCAATGATATTACAATCAAGTCTACCGTTTTTTTTTAAATTAACGCAACTTTAGCTAGTGATATAAACAAAAACCAAATGATGATTAACCTTTTTGTCAAAACATCCGATCTAACATTTCAAACGATTATTAGCAGGAAATTGATATCAAGGATTATTTTTAACTATTTTATTAATGTTTTTATATATTTTTTGTTAGACAATGTTGAATAATATTGATACCAGTGGTTTTCCAGAATGGCGTGATTATTTGTTTATACGTAAACCTGGTGATAAATCATGGTCACGTCGTTTATGTGTTTTAAGAAGTTCCGGTTTGTACACTTCAAATAAGAATAAAAAGTCATTCTCAGTAAGTACAGATTATGAATGTTCTAAATATTTTGTCAATTTTTTTTAACTAATAGAACATAATAAGAATGTATCTCTATATTGATTGAACATCTCATATTTTCAAGGTGTAACTCTTGAAACATACGGCTAATAGACACTATCTATGCAGTTAGAAGATAAATATCAATATAGAATCTGGCAGAAATGTAGATCGTTTTAAGGTAGTACACCGTATCAGAAAATTAATATGAGATTAACAAGATGTATGGCAAAAAGTCAAAATAATTTCAGTTTCAATATGGATAGTGTCATTGATGTAATACATTAGTAATAATTGTTAACATATGAAACAAAGTAATATACTCATTGTAGGTGTCATTACCAAAATTTGACTTTATAATGTCAGATAAATTGAATATTGGGTAGATTGTTTCTCGACTATCAGTTTGTGATTCTGTAAACATATTTGTTTCATAAATTAAGAAACAAAAAAGTGAATTCAATTCTGGTTATCATGCAAGATATTTTTAGGCTATGAAGCAGGAATCAAACGAAATTATTTCATTTTATTTATTTACCATTAATAACAGGGGCATAGTGATTGATGATTTGATCAATGTATTATGCTATCACAAGCATTCGGATTACAATTAAGATTATATTGTTCATTACCAAAGTATTATTCGTACTTCCGTCATTATAAATACTGAATAATAGTTTTAATAACTCTAATTCTCTTGAACACTCACTGTTATTGAGACCAGTTAGTATAAATTTTCATTAATTTCTAAGAAAAAACATATACAATCTTGAATGAAAAAGTTTAGTTATTTTCTAATAACGAATAATTCCTTGACAACGTCTGTGACTGTGAAACAGAATGACATGAATTCTATATTCCACTACGAGTATTATATCCTATGAGATAGTTAATATAACTATATCATATATATACCAACTAACATAAATCATAGGCCAAGGGGATTCATCTGATAATGTTCAACATTCCAACACACTCCGATGTAAATTCTGTTATTCACTGAAAACATTTTCATTACCAGTGTATGTAGGTAACTAATTTACATTTACATAGATGTCAAACATTTGAATTCACATTCAGGTTTTGCTAGTAATCCAATCATGATATAACCGTCCATTCAGCTTTAATCACTAACATCGTACATATATATTATTTCATTTGCATCTTTAAATAACAGTCTACAGATCTTATTCGTATTCTGGTTTTGGATGGACCTTTAAAACTTTATACAACTACAGGAGGTTGGTCACGGATGCGTGCACCTACTCCACACGGTTTCGCCTTCAAGGTGAGAATTCTAATTTAGTTTGTTTTATTTCTTTAGTACATGACCTATCGGTATGATGACTTGGATATATTTATTCTATTTTTGTTAACCAAAAATAAATCATTCTACATATTTGAATTGTTGACTTTTTGTGTAGAACTGCTCTAATTTTTACGAAAAGTCATGATAGATAATTGGTCTGCTAACGTTAATGATAGTTTTAAATATAATTAAGTTCCTTTAATATAAATGAGATTATGAGCGGCAGTCAAAAAAGTCAAACGTTGCTTCATTAACATGCTTGTTTGAATTCAGTTGTATATATATATGATCAGTGAGTAGTTATCAATAATATGTTTGTTTTATCCTTTGGGTGGCGAACAAATAGTGACCACGTTGCACTGTGGCAACTAGTCTAAGTAACTCGGTACCACCCCTACTATCCTATGATGTTAGGAGACTTAAAGCAACACCTAATTCAATGACGCTGAGTGACACGTGGTTGAATTTTTCAGGGGGCATCAATTCTCTCAAGATTACAGTAACTCCTTTCCGACGAGTAACAAACTACATGAAACCTATGTCCAGAACATCGTGTCTACCATTTTCAAACACTTAGTAGTTAAAATACTTTTACGGGGAGCTTAAGACTTCAATAACCAATATGAATTGGATGATGACTAATGAGAGGAAAAAATTGAAAGCAAAATCATGGTTTCATACATACTATCTACCATAAAACTTCTACGTTCTTGTTTTTTTAATGAATTCAAATTCAAGTCTCCTGCAAAATGTACCCATCTTTTATTTACACCCAAGAAAGCGTAAGTAAATGCTGTACAAATTCATACAATCGAATACGTAACATCACGCACAGATCACATGTATGTACCTCTGGATGAAAAAAATCGATATGAGCTATTAAATGAGACCCAGTGATTGTGAAATTTCATACTAATCATGATGATTTTGTAATATTTCTACTGTTGCGACCTATAAATTCGATACAGTGTTAGCATCACCTATTATTAATTATACCAAAAGCAAACCTTTTTCCCATAGGTTGGTTTTAAGATATCATTACTCAGTGGACAGTTTCAGCATCGCCTAATGACATGATTTGATATTACAGACCATAAATTTCAATCTTAACTTGATAATGAATCTAGTATGACAAAGACTCACTGGTAACTGGTAACCCGTTTCACTCATTCATTGATAATTACGAACTCAATGGAAAGATATCTTTGAAGACATTTAAAGTAGGAGACGTTTTTATATAACGAATTCTTACAAATAATATAAATATGATAGTATTTCAGTACATCTAAATCTGTTTTAACAAGCGAGGAATAATTCAACTGATCATCAAATGTAATTATTTATCATTTAGCATGATTCGCTTTAGTCATATAAGTAAATACTTATAATCTCTAAAGATTAAATGTCAACAATGTGACTTCTGTTTTAATTCATAGCAAACGAAATTTTTTGATATTGTGTAAATTGTTTCCTATTTCAGCCCTATTCTGCACAAGATCCTTCTTCGACACATGTGTTTTGCTTCTGTGCAACAGATGAGAAAGCATTACGTCATTGGGTTAGTCGACTACGTGTTGCTAAAGTAAGTGGGTTAGTATATGAATTTAAAAAATTAATGAGAAGTGGATTTGTTACTTTATGACTTATTCAGTCGGCTTTCCTAAATCCTCATCAAAAGTTGTTTTTATCAGCATTTTGTCTTTTAAGTTTATTTGATTTTCAGCGGAAAATTCAGACATTATGAAAACTATACTTCATTAGGACAGTGATTTGTGGCGATTGTTGTGCTTGAAATTAATATAATACATGGACTAACATCAGTTATAGCACCACTGAAATTCAAGAAACCCTGGACAGCTATTTCCTATCAGTATAGAATACCAGCAATGAACACCATTGACCGGTATCGAGGCTCGGGACTTTAGGTCCATCGCCATCAATTACTCCAGTTGATTTCAGCCCATGATAAATATCAACTTTCCATTAAGCTCTCATTATAAATGGTAACAAAAATACTGTGACTTTCTACTCCCTTAGACTAGCGATCACATGACAAATTTGATCGATACTATGGTCTTGACAACACAACAGTGATTACCACGAAGTAACCAATTCGAGAACTCGAATGTATAGGAGCAGTGTAATAAACAGATAGGCACAACTATATGTTCGTACGAAATGACCAATATTAATTAATTACTGAAAAGTAATAAATCTAGTCATATATTCGTCCAACTTTTAATCTACGATGTTTTGGTGTGATATTCATATGTATGTATATATCACTATTTTTTTTTCTAGTACGGAAGACAACTACTAACCGATTACCACATGGCACTTAGTAGAGTTCACCAACTGATTAGTCTACGCACTCAACTAAGTATTAATTCCAACCGTTCAAGTAATAATATGATAAGTTTGAACTTACAACCGAAATCATCTTTTGATTATCTTTCACAATCGTCATCATCAATACATGTCCCAACAGCCAGTTCTACACGAAGTCTTTTAACTGCTAGTTCTTCTCCATCAGTCTTCCCACGAGGCGATCCACGTTACTCAGAAAATCAACATCAACAACAACATTCATGTAGTAGACAATCATTACATCCAAATATTCAATCATCATATTCACCACGTCCTGTTTCTCCTTTAGGTATGAGAGCAAGAATGATAACCAATTCTGAGCATCCTTGCCTTATAAACATGAATCATTCTTCAGGACAACTTAAAAACCAAGATAAATTCCCTCCAACTATACATAATTCATCAGATAGATATAAATGATTAACATCTTTCAACATTTCAGTCATCCTATCAGTTAATTTTTAAAAAAAAAGATAGAATCATAATATCAAGTGCATAATTTAAATAGAACCCATGCTTTTCGACTGAAACTAACAAATTGCGCACAAACGTACACCTTTAAGATCTCTCTGTATTAATTAGAAAAGAAGTTGAACTAAGTAAATTGTTACTTTTTTACGTGATCTTTCATCATTTATGATGACGACCAACACTATTTCATTATTTATAAATTTCCTTACAAATATGATCAATCCTGTTAATAGCAATTATAATTATCAACACAAATATTCAATCAGATTTCAGTAACAGAGCATTTTTGAGATATTAGAGAAATCGCTGTTTCTATCTTATTGTACGTACATAAAAATTTTTTCTTTCTATATAAAACATGAAGTTTGTGATCAATAACAGTATTATAATTATTTGATTACTAAAGATATACTCTTGGTGGGAGAATCTAACCTAAAATATTGAGGCCTCTGGTATTTTTTATCTCAAATAGTTATATATATATATTTCTTACATGAAGTGGACAATATACTAAAAATTGGCGCCAATTTGTTTGTTACTTTTTTCCTAATGAATAATACTAATTAACCTTTCAATTATAGATATTTTCTCTTATCTTGAATTACTATCAATTTGTATTACTGTACCCTCACAAGTTTACATATTTCTTTTTCATAAATTTATTGTTTACTGCTGAGATCTGATTTCAACTGTATATTTATAGTTTCAATGGAAATTAATCAATGTTGATAAAGTTTCATTTGGAAAGGAGACTATTGTTTAATGATACATATATAAATATTTAAACAATGTATAACATAAATCAACCCAAAATGATATTGTGATTATTATTATTATTACTAATATAGACTCTATTCTCATCAGGTCCATTGTTTCAGAAACATATAAGTGAATAAACGTAATTGACAAAGAGTGATCATAGTTTCCTTTTTAAAAACCAAATAAATAAAACATCTTTAGCATTTAGACATTGTTTATTTAGCTTTCTTTTTTCTCTCTCTTTAATGTACAGCCTCATTGTTCAAAACTTAACAAACAAATAAATCAGTGGTCCAATAAGAATTTGATACTAATCGTATTTTTGTATGTTTATAGGTAATATGAGGTGATAAGTTGTTAGGATTAGAGTCTATTATTAAAAATATAAAGTAATGGTAGATACTCAGTCATTTACCTTCATTATTTCGTGAATGACTCAGTCACTTTGATTCGTAAAATGAATGAAGTATGATCTAGTGAATTTCAAATCAATTATCTGAACCTATCCTTCACATCGAAAATCAAGAAAGCCGTCTATTCCATGTCTTATGAGCCAATGAGTACACACTGCTGAGGAGTTACAAACTATAAAATGGCTTTTTAATACTTTTTTGCTAACAAGCTGACATGAAATTATGGTGAGAACTCTTTCTGTATTGTATCGCAGTTCATCTAACTAAATGTGAGATTTATGTTAATAGAAATTTAATATGCGAAAATACATTTATAGCAATGAATTTATCGCATAAATGTCGTTAACCTTCTCTCATTTTCCTAAACCTTCAGGGATATATAGTCATTTGAAATTATTTACTGTATTATATTATTCATTATTATATTTAATTAAAGTGGGTACTTTGAAGCTATAAAATTAGCATTTTCATCGTCGCACAGCGTTGGAATATTTGAGTTAGGCCAGATAAATCCATAAAAAATCAGTCACCTTACTATCGATGGTCGTGTAGTTAAAGTTAATTGAATTACCTTCGTCTCCAGGTACTTGAATATGAGCCACACTGCGTGAAGTTTAATGATAATACCCAGATGCCCAAACCGAAATAGACTGGGAGGATTTCGAATCTGGAAATTATTTGCCGAAAATTGAACCAATAAGCCACCACTTCACCAATCATATAGACAACAAAGCAGTTTATACTGTTGGATGTCAAACGAATCCCTTAAATATATAGAATTGTAGCAACTTACGTCTGAGATCCTTCCCTCACGTCTCAACATTCTAATTTTGGTGAATGCTTCTTACTCTTACAAGCTCATAATAAAAGCATACCGAATTTCGGAAGAAGCTCGAAGTGAATCTTAAACAGTGATATGACTAATTTATAATTTCGTGTGAATAAATACGATAGAATCAAATACATATTGTAAGTCAAAAACAAAACTATATAGTATAGTTTGAAAAAGAAAAGTCTACATCACGTGACACTAAGAATCCGTTACAAATCCTAAAATGCACTTTAGATAATTTCCATGGAATTAATGAAGGATTGATTTGTACAATAGTGAGAAAATAACAATATGGGGTTGTGGGGATTGTTGAATTTTATTGACATCACGAACCGAAACATGTCGGACAACCATTGAAAAGCTGGGAGCACTTATGCTCCTACATTTACCAGTGAAGAAAACAGTTTGAAAAATGTGTCGATTATTTAGGAGCATTAAAAACTGCTAAAGATAAACAATAAATCCAATCCTCAGAAAACGTTTCCATGATGTTCAATAAAGAAATATATTAACAAATTCTTTGAATTGCATGCAATTTCCCAATCAGTTAAAAACTGGAGTTTCTTATCCGTATAAATATATTTGATTTATTGGAAGTTTCTGTATCAACAAATTTTAAATATATACAGAACCATGTTTCACTTTATTGTAAGCTAATCCAGAACATTCAAAATTTAAAGACTATGATATGTTCGACTAAGTGCCTAAAAAATCGTATTCCATCAGTAGTAATACTATCACGAAGCATACACACGGGGATACTTGGTCATACATACACGACTACTGATGGTTTTCTGTTAACTTTAATTGAAGTGCTTAGCTGGTTCTAATTAAAAACAAGAGAAAATACAAAATCTTTGTTTTGAAAATTTTGTTACAAGAGGTATGTTTTAAAAGAACATCACAGGGACTGTATAGATAACGAAAGACCACAAACAGATTGATGTTGAGGATGTCAGAAGTACGCATTACAATACATTAAAGTACTGATTCCAAAACATTTTGATCAGCAGTACACTTGAACCACAATTTTGTTAAGAACAACGATTATAAGCTCCACGTAGTAGGATGAAATGTTTAGAGCCAGTGGAAAAAACAAAATACAACATAAGTCTGCAGTAGGTAGAAAATATTTACAGTAGTTGAAATTTGAGCTGCAATCGATCTATTATGTATTGAGGCATACATAATACTGGATTAATAGTCTTCAAATTATTTCTAGCCATTTGTAAAGCGACAAAGGCTGGATCTTCTACACCACTTACTCCATTTTCCATTTTCCTTGGTGAGGAGAAATATGAGTCGACCTGGGCTAATAAAGAGAGACCAGCAAGACCAAATAAAGTATGGAATGGGTCAGGAATATTTCCAGGTTTATCTGCTATACCGCCAGTCTGGTCATCCTGAGAAGCCAAAATGAACCGAGTAAGGTCAGTCTGGTTAATCCATGTCAAACGACCAAATATAGTAAGAGTAGCTACAGTCCACCTAGAAAATATCAAGTACAAAAATGAGCCTGATATGATACGAAATTTGGTATTGCAAACGCAAACAAAACTGACTTAAAGATTAGCAAGAAACCGAACTCAGACAAAATGGCGAGAAATAACTGTCTTCCATTGCATCAGTACGGATTTGTATGATATTCCGAAACGCTCTTAACTCTATGAAACATCGACATTTGGAGTATCATTAAACTATTCTAGATTTACTCCATTTGTTTTGTAAAATGAGGAAATTGATTGTGTATTTCATAAGCCACTTCTCTGTCAAATGATATAACATAACCCAAAAATCCGACTGTTCCTATATTAATTTACACTTTTGTGACCTTTGATATTATGAAACAGTGAGGTTGTAATTTACAGGTTACAGCAGTTGACAACAGGTTTCAGATTCGCATTCCATCTTACTTCAGTTTGGACGGCCAAATAACATCATAACCTCTTATAGAAGTAATATAACTGAAACCAGAGTGCAGTCCATGCTTGAAGAGTGACATTACGATTAGCTAATTCAAAAGAAATACTAAAATAAAACCTGGTGTCCATAAATTTGACATATTTTTTGCAAATATGTGTATTACAACAATTGAGTAGTTCCAATGAAGACTGCACAAATAAGTACAATTAAGAGCAATTACATATTATCCTATACATCTGTCTAACCGTTTATCCCCCTAATATATGTAATGAGTAGATACTTTACATAAGATTCACAGCTGAAAATTTGAAATACACATCCCATAAGTACCTCGAAATATTGTACAAAGCATAAACGGATAACAATTCATTCAAGTAAAAGTACTGCTAAGCTTACCATGAATAGCACACATCAGGATGTTTTTCCGGTCTTCCATTTAAACCTCCGCTAGGAAGCTGACGTTCGGCTAGCCACCAAGCAGCACGGTCTATATTTAATCGATGTAGTTGACGAAGTATAGCCAGAGCTCCCACGACACAATATGCTTGACCTGCATGAGATTCACTCCCAGGTCGAGTTCCAAAACATCCATCTAAATTTTGACACTTTTCAAGGTATGAAGCACAAGCTTCGATGTCGATAGTATTTTTGGAAAGCATTCCAACTATATGCAGTGTAGCAACGGCACAAAATGAAAACCGAGTGTCAATTTCCCCCCAAATATCTCCAGCGAAACTTCCATCTGGTTGCTGTCAAAACATAAAGGACATTTATTAACACACAAAGTTATGATGCAAATGGCTAGATGCATCCAATTTTTTTTAAAAACAATACTCCTTATACAGTCAAAAAGCTCATTCGCCAAACAGAGAGATGAAGGGTAAGCAATGAGTATGCCAATGACTAAAAGCACAGTTGGATTAAGAAAGATGGAAAGAACAGTATCAAATCCCTAGCTTGTTCCTTAAAACCAACTCTTTACTTGTTAGACGAACTAAATCACGATAAATTTTAGTTAATACAGTGGATTTTAGTGACATTAGCTTCAACCAAATAGACAACCCCAATTTTCCTTCACTATAATCATATGTGAAATAGTTAACGATGATATTTTAGAGCTTGAAATTCATGTAATTGTGATATTAGTAATTAATGAAGAGAGCAAGAATTTACTAATCACAAAAATCCTGTCCTACAGTGTTGACATTCCGGTCACTTGTACACATAACTTCTAGGTGACTAACAGAGTTATTATATTAATGAAAAAGCCGAAAACACCGATCTACTAATTATGTGTGGAATTAGATGTCAAAGGAAATAAAAAGTCCAAGAACATATGAGGGCTACAAATCGTTTCTGAACTTCCAACTAAGATGCCGCCTCGTCATTTATCAGATGGTGAATATATGATTATTCCAATTAACACCAGGAAAGTTTGATTTCAATTTACACTCATTATGACCAATGTGCTTGGAAAGTATCTACAAGACAGGATAGACTCACAAGTTATCACAAGTAGAGGTGAAATGCTACAAGATCGTACTTAGCTTTGCACTATTGACAACATCGTACGCTTTAGTTCCATTATTAAGCCACTTACTGCTTTTCTGTTAAAGGAATATCTGAAGTGAATAGACTTTCCAGATAATATTATTGTACTGTCAAACAGCATACCAGCTGAAGTTAGACATAGAAGTAACTACAAAGGTCCTCCACACTCTCTTCGGGAAGACTGGAGAGGAAGAACAGTCAGTCAATCATTTACAACGTAGGATCAGGCACATATGCATCGGTCCAAGTTACCATACATCATTAGCACAACAAGATGAATACGAAATTCATAGTAGTTATACATAAAAAAGACTGCATAAAAGGATATTATACAGGAAGAATGAATTACTTTGTATAGAGAAAGGTATAATGTAGTTTTAATCTCCCGGGTTAAGAGGAAACAAAGAGTGTATACACCCACGTTATTGTGATAGATTCTGAGCTATGTCGCTTAGAGTCTCCAACCACTGGTTAAGATAGTCGCGCAGACCCCAACCAAGCACTTTGCATCTACCAACATGGCTCAAACCAGAAGTTAGTGACTTTATAGACCGATGACACGCTTTGATTTGGTCA